TATTCGATAAACTTTGAAACAACTAATAATAGTTGAAAATGTCACAAGATACCGGGAGATAGAGGCATCTATTGTTAGAAAATTGATGAAATCTATAGTTAATTAAGTGGTCGAGCTCGTGTAGTGTGGAATATAAGGGAGTAGCGCGTCAATAACTGAACAACGTTACGGCAATAATTACCTTAGAGCAGGTGTGAGACGTGTTACAGAGGTTAATGTACCGTGTATGTTGCAGGTATTGTTATTAAATGGAAACGAAAAAGCAGGTTGCGCTTTAATATTTTGGGTTAACAAATTTAGAATAGGATACTATTTAGTACCTGATCCACAGTAAGTACGTTAACTATACCTAATACTCCGGAATTACGCTAAAAATAGAGAAATATAACTATTTTAAACTCTTTAACTTATTGAGAGTTGGTGTTATATTAAACAAGTACCTATGAATTTAAATCGAGTTAGTATCAACAATGAAATATTTTTGTTTCATATACGTATTGTAAATGCAATTTTTTGCCGGATTCTTCAAAATATGTAGGCATATTGTGTTGGGCTGTTGCAGACAGGTCGAGTTTAAAAATTTTGAAAAAAATACTGCAGGTAACTCAAAATTCTGAACGCTTTTTTCTGTTCCTATTTACCATACTACTTCCATTATCCATTAACCTAGCAAATATTTTACTGTGGGTACTTTTATTAAACACAAAATAGATATAGAAGACAATTATACTCACTATCGCAGATCCTTTAATTCTGACGATGTCGCAAAATTTTACGCGCAATATATCTCGGCGACGTCATATTGTTTATTAATAGTAAAACAACAATAAACCTGTACTAACTAAACTACAAAACTCGAAATACCGTATTGAGACCGTGTTAACTTTAGGACGAGAACTATGGTACATACTTCCCAAGGAAGTTAGCTGGGTGAGATAAGTTTGGCTCCTGAATTCAGACTGGCAATGTATGTTGACTTGTTTTAGCTATGAGACTAATCAGTCAAAGTTATATAGTTAAACTTGAGACACCGAGCTCGCAGCTATCTATTGCTTAGTACAAAAAAATTCAAGAAAAACATATTTAATGATCATTTAGTTCTATTGTATCTACATAATGTCACGCACACACACTGTACAATGTAACACTCAGATGTCACTATTTATATTATGAGTCGCATGTAATAAGGGGTGAGCTTATTGCTATATACCGGGCACAATTCCAGACTCCATGCTACTAATGAGATTTTTTTTAAAAACCCAGTAATACTTTGCCGGTCCCGGGGATCGAAATCGAGACCCCGTACCCAACAGTCTACAGCACTTTATACCATTCGGCTAATGAGGCAGTCTACTATCTACTATAGTAGAGTAACCTCTATAATCAAGCCGGAAAGTACAAGAAGGAAGAAAGTGAATTATTTTGTCGAGACACAATTCTTAGCGACCTTCAAGTGACGCGCTGGGAGGCGGGATCCTGTGTAACTGTTTGATGGTGGAACTTCTAGCGGGATTGTTTGTTGCTTATAGCGAAATTGAAAGATAAATATTAGTTTAGTGTTGTCAAGATTTAAGTTGAACTTCCGTATTGTAAATTTAATGTATTGTTTTGAACCAAGTTTAGATAGAAAACCTGTTGTCGTAAAAATGTTATTCGTGAATTTAAGCAAAATAAATATCGATCTACCTGACTTTTCACTTTCCTGTTTGTAAACAAGTAAGTCGTTTGCTGAGTAAGGAAAAGTTGAACTTCGTAGAAAACATAGATTTAAATTGGGCCCTACTATGTACTATGTAGTGTATCGTCACATTTTTTGTCATTATTCCGAAACTTGGGTAAAAAGGTCCGGCGTTAGTAAGGATAAAGTAATTAGAGTACATCGTGGTACCTACATTACGAGCCGGGCTTAGGGACGTAATGTTCCTATTTAGTTACCGGTTTTTATTGCCTTTTAAAGCCAAAAAGAAGCAAGAGTAGTAAGTTTGTTTTGGTAAGATGTACTGTTGTTACGTTAATGGTAATTAGTCGTAGTATTACTAGTCTTAGGACTACGCGACCAAAATACCTAATGATTTTTTATTACGCCTATTTAAGGTGCATGAAGAAATAATAACAACAATGTTATAGAAAAAAAGTCTGGGCTAACATATGGATTGAAATCTAGACAACCCTAATCATGTAAAATCTTTGCACGACTTAAGAGTCCAACATGAAGGTTTTGACTGCCAATAGAAAACTGTTGATATCAAATCCCATCCGCTAACGTCGGTCACCAGTAATCCCCATGGCGTAACTACACTCAGTGAAATTACCAACACTTATATACTAATCGAAATTAAAAAAATCAATCCTGATGGTGATATTGCCCTACACACAAGACAATTGAGATACACGCATAGCAATCTAAAGAAAAAATCTTTTGTAAGTATTTTTGTAGAACAGTGAGGAGGAAGTATTCAAAGAATTTACATATTTAACGTTTGTTTCACAGCTGAGCAGATACAAGAAACAAGAAACAGAGATACAAAGTATTTTCGACATCATTTGTGTTCGGTGAATGGGGAAAACATTGAATTTTCAAAAGACTACAGAGAAAAGGCAGGGGACTATTTGTATACAAACAATTGATTTTTAACCGAACAATAGACGTTTGTGTGCGGTTAAAATGTGTTATCCAGCTTCAACATGTAGGATGTCGATTCTGCTGCATACACAATCAAAAACGGACTTTTGATTTGCATACAAATGAAGGTTTTCGGGTCGGCCTGCCACCTCGTAAACGGGACCTTTATTATACCTATGACCTTGATGTTTCGTACCCCGTGCGGTGCAGCCATTTCGAGCAAACATTCATAGAAATGTTAAGCTATTATGGGACGGAACGTATATTATGTTGTACACACATTACACATAACATAAGTAGAAATAAAATATAAAATACTATTGCATCTGAGAACATAAAAGAAGTCTCCCCTTAAGTGATGTCAAAATTAAAAAGAAATGAAAAGTAAATAGCAATCCAATATATTATTTGTTTTATTATCCACCATTTTATACCATAATAAACATTACTCATTTAATTAAATTCTTTTGAATGTTAACAAGTCTCAAAACAACACCAAAATTAATTATTTCGCGATTAATGATGTTTTATAATTAGAAAGCAATATAAGTTATTTATTATATTGCTTGACTCTATGTACCCATGTATTTTGTATTAATACCTACTTTACTTTTCAGAAACGTAATATAAAAATATTTGAGTTTAGATATGGCTATAAAACGACATTTTATTTCTTCATGATGTCGAATAATAAAGATATAAATAAGGAAAGATAAAGAAAAACGTCATGGAAAACGAGAAATATAGCAATCAAAAGGCTTACGACTAAATCAAATGACGCATTTACCTTTCTTAATATATTTGAAATCTAAAAATTTTGGTATAAAACAGTACTGTGTATTCATAAATTGAGTATCATCAGCAAGTAGCAGTGGGCAACAAGCACTCTGCATCACTTGAAAGTACTTACTAAGTCAATTGACATATTAGGCTTCAATCGGATCAGTAATTGGTTTCGATTGAAGATCTCTACAAGCGAATGACCTAAATTGACCATGAACAGTATTAAATTATACGAAACAGGGTTAAGTATTTAACTGAACGTGGACATTATGTAGGTACTGGAAGTGTTACTTTCAGTTAGTAAATCCACATGTCTACTCAACAGGCGGCAACAAGTCTTGGCAAAGGGATCTAGGTTTTATAGCGCAACATACAAAACCAACTTCGATTGCCGACAGTTTGCAAAGTGTTCCGAAGGATATCGGCGTAATGTGCCACGTTGGGCATGAAGTAAAGGGGCCCCGACGTAAATATTGCTGATTGATACTAAATTGAGTATTATCATGCTCAGACAACCGTGAATACGCTCACTTATTTCCAATGATGTGGGTGTCCAAAATGTACAAGTATTTTTGTAATATCATCGCCTTGTGTTCAATGTTCAATTTATTGGTTTCTGTATAGGTCGAGAAGTTCGGTAGTCTTGTCCTATGTTTATTTTGAATTAACTTTTTATAGTCAGTTTTGCTGTGGATAAAATATTGGCTAATTATATAAATCTTGTTGACAAAATTCCTTAGGTCAGAGGCAAAAAGTGGCTGAGATTACTGTGTAAACAATTTACCAGTGAAATAAGTGTAAAAGTTGCCGATATTTCATCTCTGTATCTCGTAAATCAAGTAAACCATTGGTGGTTAGTTATAGTGGACTGAAAGAAGACCCTCCTTGTAAAATATTGATATCGCAACTTAGTTCAGAAAGGAAGAACAAAAGCGAAATATGCCGCGCTTAATAGTTGCCATCTTCCGCTAGAATCTTTAAATTCCATTATTTTTTCTTTTTGTACGTTGTGTCAATTTTGCTTCATATTGACGACGAAAATGTTTGGAACGTTTTAAGTTTCAATAACACAAGGTTTTTATGGTTCAATTAGATTTACGAACGGGAATCTATAAGATAATTAGATATAATTCAGTTACTTCTAAATATTAGTTTCAAAAATGTTTTCATTGAGACACTAGTCATGTATTTTGATTTATTTTCTTTTTGTACTCAAAACTGACTAAATACTCGATGCTGACTATGTTTCAATGGTTCCTCTTTCGAAAACAATGGAGTCTGCCACTTCGTCTAAAAACCAATTTCGTTTGATAGATCTCTTAGCTTCGACAGTAACCCTTTATCATTTTGATGCTCGTTTTAATTAACATTCTGTTTGTTATATTTCATTCTAATTAAACAAACAATTGTAGCCAGGCATATTATATATATAAAATATTGAGTTGAGTAACTTTAAGGGATTTATTGGTAGCATAAACGGGAGACCAACTGTTATGTTAAACGTCGCAATATTTCTATTAAAATACTACATTACAGTTAAACAATATGCATAAATAAATATCGTTATTAGTAAATTGATTAGCCTAAAACTCACATTCAGCACTATGATGAAGAAGTCCAGCGTGAACAGGAATGAGGTTATGGGGTTGAAATTTAACTGTAACAAAAAATTGGATTATAGTGACATCAGTTATTATAAAAATAGTAACACGCACACAGACACAAATAAGAACAAAATATGTTACGTCAATAAAAATAATCTATGCTACGTATGACGCGTCTACGATACTCGTAGCTTCTCGTAGCACCTCTACGAGTTTCGTAGCCCGTAGCGGTTTTTGGTCCTTAGTATACAACTGGGTGACGATAGTGTCGATATACCTCTACATACTAATGTGATTACCTTATTTTTATTGCTTTCAATATTAAATATGTTGTTATAGAACAGCTATTTGTAAGTTAGTATCTAACTCGTTAGTTTTCTTACATTAAAAAAAATCTTAGTGTAAACAGATTTCGGTACAAGTGGTAGAAATACAGATAGAATCTATAGGAATACAAAAAATAAATAAAGATAATAAAACAAATTCGTAGGCAGTCTACAATTTATTTCTGCCAAAAACGATTTCAGTGTAGAAAGAAAATTTGTTGGCGCGGCGTATCTTATCAGAGATCGGGGTCTTTCGGACCTGAACCCCGGCACTGCGCTACGTATTACGATCCATAATAGATACTGCGCCAATTGGCTTGGGACCTTTGCTAATTTGTATGTTATCTGTCTATATTTATAACATAAAATCGTTAGATTTACGAAGGATTTATTTCTAAGCGGAAAGATTTAACGTTCCTTTAAGGATTTTCATGTTGCATTTAAATGTGATATTACTGCAGAAACAACAATGGAGTTGTGAAGAAGTGCATTGAGTTTGTTAATCTTAGCCTATATGCTTGTATTAAAAAGTAGTGACTATAGGCTATAAATCATGTACTAAATAGCTACCTTTATTTATTTTCCGGGTAAGTAAATAACACTAGTTCGTTTGACTGTTCCGAATGGCTTCAAGATGTGGATACCCGATACGATATTTGATTGAACCCGTAAATGGAAGTTTAGGCAGTGTGACATTCAAGCCGGGTTCCACCACGATAATCTGTACCGGTCAAACTTGTGAGACGCGTCCAAACTTCGCTAATTTGCACTTGGCTCTCTGAATTCGCTCAAATTTATAAATGGAGCGAATAGACCGCCTATTTCTAATCGCCAAACAATAGTTTTAATTAAACTTTTGCGTTCAATATTTTAATATCAACATCGAATATGATTTACAAAAAACAAAAAATAGATATCAATTATAGCTGTCGGGCGTTGGCATAGTTCTTATTATTGGTAGAGAGCGCATACAGACTAAAAGTTGATATTATTGTTGTATTTATTGAAGTTAATATAAATCTTTAAATTCATTACAGTAATAAAAAATACGACCAAATAAGTATCTGTTTATTAGACATGTTTTATGTCTATACATATTAGTATAGAGAAGAAACTACTATAATATTGTAAAGTGAGTGTTACCAGTTTGGTAACTGGTCCCACATCTTAAAATCCTTTAAAATTGTCACGGGAATATCGTTACGTAATTTTTACGTGACGTAAAAACCACAAAATACTCGTGATAATTGTCACAAAGTTTAATGAATACCTGTCTCGCTGGCCGAGTGCTCGCAACTGCGACTGCTGGGCAAGGGGTCTCGATTGCCGGGTCGGGCAAAGTATTATTGATTTAAAAAAAAAACCCTCAATAGTAGCACGGAATATAGAATTGTGACCGGTATATCACAGACTCACCTATTTTTACATGGAGCTCATAATAAAAATAGTGAAAAGTGGGTGTTATATTGTACAGCTGCCTTCGGGGATAGAAGGCATGATGTTATGTCAGGTTTATGTATTTATTTGTACGTATGCGACACTTAAAACGTAACCAATTCATTAGAGGTAAGCACGCAACATAAGTTCATCACACAGCCACTAGGTACTGAAGTAACAAAGAGCTATTTTAAAACACATCAATAACCGTTTATAGCTGTAACAAATACTGAAAACATCGGATTCAATAACCATTTGTTTTCGTTTTCTTTTTAGTAGGATGGCGCTCAGCTTAGTATGGGAAAATATATGGGTATTGCAACGAGTGACAATAACAAATATGGTACCCAGTCACTAACAGGTGAAATTTACATGGAAATACCAATTTGTGATTGTTATTATTATTTTATTGTAAATTTGTTTATAAAAAACTATTATATATCAATAAAGCGGTTATATCTACATATATAAGGCCCGTTTACTCTTGGGCGTCTCTTCTTAAATCAAATATATCTATCTAATCTAAAAAATAAAATAATTCATAAAAATTCGTACATCCAAATATACATAACATCACGCCTTTTATTCCTGAAGGGGTAGGCAGAGGTGCACATTACGGCATTTACCTCTAGTGTATGTATGTAACACCCACTTTTCACTTTTTATGTTACCAGTGCCATGTAATAGGGGGTGAGCCTATTGTCATATACCGGACACAATTCCAAACTCCGTGCTACTTCTGAGTTTTTATTTTAAAAAACCCAGTAATACATTGCCCGACTCGGAAATACAACACGAGACCCCTTGCCCGGCAGTCAGTCATCATCATCATCAACAGCCTATAAATGCCCACTGCTGAGCAAAGCCTCTTCTCACACGGAGAAGGTTTGGGCATTAACCACCACGCTTGCTCAATGCGGGTTGGCGATTTATAATTAGAAAATTATAAGTCCAGGTTTCCTTACGATGTTTTTCCTTCACCGTTTGTCAGTGGTGTCTAAATAATCTTAGAAAGTACATATAACTCGGAAAAAGTCACATTGGTACTTGCCGTTGGTAGGTTTCGAACCCGCACCCTCATGCATGAGAAGTGGCCCACGCCCATTCAGTATTTCAACGGTATCGAGAACTAAAACATTAATTTTGCCTTTTAAGCTTTTGTTCCAGCTTGTTCATCTTTGATGGAAAGTTTCCTATAAAATATTAAAAACTTCTTACTTACTTATAGTGTCTTCGTAATTACCTTGCGGAAGCCAAAAAAGAACTTTGTGAAAGGAAATTCCTAATGTATTTAAAATTTCTGTCACAAAAGGAATAAGTAATGAATATTTTCAAAGTTACATATTTATGTAACGTAAATAATGAAAAGTAGGTATTACTACTGCTAAAGGTAAATAGTTCCCAAAGAAACTATTGTGACATAATAATTTTAAACCACTGATGTATGCCATTAAATATTTTCCTTCAATTACATTTTCTCAGGAGAATACTTTTATTGGTATACAAATACCAGTATTTCTCTTTTGTTAAATGAATGATTATTGAGTCAAATGATGTTAATATGCGTAGTATATGCATATAACAATGTCCTATATTTCTGCATGTTCCAGTTAAATGGCTGATTGGTCCACTGGTTGCTAGCTACCGCACTGTACGAGGCATTAGGTAATGTAAACCTAACTACGCATCGAGGAAAGTCTGTGGGAATGTGTCTATAAGTTTGCCGTAACGTAAAGCAGGTAAATCGTCCAGTCTCGTTTTCAGTAACACATAAAATTTATTAGTGACATTAAATTTTACGACGGCCATGTTTTTTTTACTTGCGTTTGCGCTCACGTGGCCGTTTTAATTATGCTGGCTTTATGAAGAGATGCTCACACTGTACGCACTGCCTGCAGACCACTCAGGTCACTTAATTCAAGTAGGCGCCTTAAAAATTAAAACTATGTTTATTTTTTCCTACATAGCGCTGCAATATTGCTAAAATTTCCCTTTATCGTTACCAATGTAATTAAAAAAGTAAATATACTCTGGAGGCAACCATTTATTTTTAGATATTTATGTTGCATACAAGTTACATATGATCGGTCCAATCCAAAAGTTTTTATTATGATTTTACCTCTATAACATAAACACAGTTAGCCATAAATTATTCCAGGGTACAAAACAAAACGTTTTGTAGCATATAATTAATGTGGACTTTGCCAAAGCAATGTTTTGCTGTCTATTTTTACAATAATTCATATTGTAATTGCCGTGAGACTGAACAACTGACAATGTTTGTTGTGTATTGCTGTGTGCACTTTTGAATTGTTATTGACAGGCAAGAAACACGATTGATTTTATAGCCCTGATGAACAGTTTATATCCGATATTATAAGTCCTTGTAAATATTCACAATGGAGTCTTAAGCCATATGAGTATCTATATCTTAGATAATGACCATCAGAACTTCATCAAGATTCGTAATAGTCCTCCGTATGCAGATTATTAAAACATTAAAGTTTTCTATAAATGGGTTTTGCAATAGAAGCTCATGCTCCCTTTAGCACTATCTCTGTCACCCAAATATCGTTTGCATGGTATGTAACATTTGGATGAAATCCGGCCGCCATTTCAAAGACAGTACAGTAAAAACGAAGAAAAATATCTGCAAAAAGTAAATTAGATTTAGTATTAGACGGGGGACGAGTATCAGCTCTACGAACTCGCGAAAGGAGATATTGAGGATTATAAAGGAAATTGGAAAAGACATGTAAGGAGACCTTTCAGAAAATATGTAGAATATCAAGCCTTCTGACTTTTTTAGGCTTTTTAGTCTTGGTAGGTACAATATTGTTTTATGATTCAGTTGTTATTACACCTCTACGTAAATCAAGCAAAATTAAAGCAATTATTCTCTAGTTTAGATGATAAATGGCTTTAATAAGTCTTACATTACATCTACAGAGGCCGTTTAAATACTGATAAAAATTTCGTGATCATCAAGACCTAACTATGAGTTACTACATTGTTCGACTTTAAATGTTTTAAATTATATCATACCACTAAAGTTGCTAAATCTGGATTATTTTCGAAAATTGGGTATAATTTATACATCCCCCGTTTAATAATTTTGTGCTCTAACTTAGTAACGGCAAAAATAATGATACTAAAAGTGGGTTTAAATTTTCGTACTGGTAAGACCGATACATGTATACCCCGAGCCGTGGTAAAAACATTAGTCGGGTTGCAGTCTAGCAGCGGCTAATTGATTTTGACTCGATGGACTGCAACGAACCAATGCCTAA